CAGAAGCCTCAGTCCAGAAGAGCCTAAATGTCGAATGCCTAAACCACAATATTACATTTTAATAATGGGTAGTTACCGAAATGCTTTCTGTGTTTTTTAATCATTGTGTAGCGAATAAGATTGTAAATGAACCTAAGAATAAACTCACACCTACACTATCATTTTAGATTATGCTTGAGCTATATATGCATAGTTATTTATTTTCTATGCCCATCATCCCACGACTTTAGTTTTAACTGTTATGTTTACATATATAGTATAATATAATAAGGATTTATGTGCCGTGCAGCGTAATCATATCTTTATAAGACTGTGAATGTAAACTCTCTCTGTCTGCTGAAAAAGTAGTCTGAATAGCAGGAGAAGGAAATGGATATTGAGTGAAAAGACAGATACAGAGTATGCAGCTGTGCACTGTAAGGTAGCGGATGCTGACTGTGTGAATCTTTTGTGTGTGATAACACACAGCGTGAATGTATGTGAGATTGTGGACTGTTGGATGTGCTTTGACAAGAGTCACTGTGGTGACTCACAGCATATATATATATATATATATGTGTGTATATATACATGTATATACACACTCACACTGTCACTGACACTGACTAGAGGCATACAGTACATAAAGATGAAGAAATAGATATAGATAATAGATATTTTTTCGCATGTATGTTTCTGTTGTAAATGTATGAGATTTTTTCCAGACACAAAAAATACTTTTTAAATTTTAAAGGCATACACCCTCCAGTGGGCATGTGCATGTGAAATAGAAAACTTTAAAGGAAGACTTGGTCTCTTGGCAAGGTAGAAAAACAGAATAAAAAATTCTATCGATCTTTGTTGTAAACTTTATCCCAGTCTACCTGAAACATTTTATATAAGAGGGACCACAGGGGAAAAATTCATAAATAGACGACCAAGTGACATTACATCCCTTGCAAAACTTTCTCTAAAACTGTCCAGATTGAGTGTAAAAGCAATTCTTTGTAACTGTGTTAAAATAATGTTGACATTAAATGTAATTCTGTTGTTAGAACACTTGTTATGAATGTGCTTCAAAGTGTGTTACTTACAGGCATAGTCTGTCCACCATGTAAGCTGTTGATGGCGGCCTGCGCTTCTGCGTGGCTGGAGAACTTGACAAAGGCACAGCCTGTGTACACAGAAAACAAGAAAAATAGAAGGGAGGGGCACAACGTCAGGGAGATGGCCTTGAATATGGGAAAAAAAACACAATTCATTACCATTGTTTTCATGTTATCTGGTTTGTAAATATATTCTGCCATTTGTGTGTTCAGCGCATAACTCTGAATAAATCAGTCTAATTGTAGTGAAGGCATTAGCTGCGTGGAACATCCTGTCCCTCGCCCATTTCTAATTCCACCCCCTCCACTTTGGAGCATGGAGCCAAGGCATTTACTATCCTGACTTGTTTGTGATTATTAATCTGTTTAATATTTACACATTGTGATTTGTGTGCAGTCACTCATAAAAGAGATTATGATGACAAAGGCATAGTATTATAATCTGCCTATCTAACCGAATCTTTGCTCGCATATAATTTCAGATGGAGGGGGGCTTTGCTCAAGGGGCATTCAAATCATCTTAAATCTGTTGTGTAGTTAATGCACAAAAGGAAAGTCAACATAAAAAGTTGGCCGGAAGACAAGTGAACGGTTGTTGGCAGCAGTGTTCTGGAGTCTCATTGCATTAACATTTCAAATGATGTTAAAAATGATTTAAGTAGATAATAATAATGCACAATATGTTTTTTTGGAAAGTTACATATCTTAACCACATGATTAAATAGTACATCAGTGTGTAGGTAAGGATAGGCACAAAACTACTAAAAGATAAAAAGAAAGCTAGTGAACTGAAATACAGTGGAACTGAAATGTGGTAATTTTCCGAAAGCCATTAAATTAAACAGGAGCTATTTCTCTAAGCTTTATGGTCGTCATAGACCGCACAAGGTATTCTGTTATGTCCTATTCTTATCCTTGCCTTCAGGTAGCTCATGTGTTAAGTCAAGAGATACCTAATTAACAAACTCATGGATTAATTCGGCCCCTTTTCATTAATCGAGTAGCACCAGTGTTTTAGAACCAAGCAGGCTTTTCCCGAGTTCAGTCCCCAGTTCCCCAAGAAATGCTGATACCTATTTAAAATGGTTACATATGTTCATATACATTTATTCACTCTACTTTCTCAAAGGAGCCGTGATGATTCATTTGAATTACAAACACTGATTAGTAGGCTCAGGAGATGTTCTGTGTCTGGCAGCGACCCATTCACTCCTACATCTCTGGAGTCAGCTTTGCTTTCCAGACAAACAAATTAATAATTTCCTGACAAAATCAAAAAAGATTGAACTGAGGGACACGCAGTATGTGCACAATCAATGGAGGACAATTTTCACCTTCACCTGGGGCTTTCTATCCACATTCCAGCTACACAATAAACGGTGAGCAGTGAGACTGCTGTGTGCAAAAATGTGGTGAGTAGTAAAGGCCATGTGTTTTCTGTACTGTCAAATGTCCTCAAAGCTGTATAGATCTACAGAGGCAAACAGATAAGTCAAAGAAGGCTTTGATTCTGTCACAGCACTCTAGCAGCCTTTTACTTCACTTGAACGCCCCTCCGGGTGGAGGCAGGAAAGGTCTTCATTTGTCCAACTGAAATGCATCAGCCTACTGTGTGCCATTTGACTGCAACTCTGTCTTTGAAGGAATAAACACATTTAACCTTTGCAGTTGAAATAATAAGGGGCCAGTTTGTTTGCAAAAGCCTTTTGGTTTTGTAAGGCAACATAACTTGTTGTTTCCCTAACAAGGCTGTCAGATATTGTGCCAGAATCCCAGTGACCCCAGCAGCTCAGTGCAACCAGAAAGACACTCAAAACTGCAGGGTTTGGCGTACAACGTCAGTGGCAAAGTCAAGTCAAACATACAATGTCCTCAAATTTCTCCACCCAAAAATCAATGCTGTAGCCTTGCTTTTCCTGACCTAGAAAAAAAGTTAAGGGACACAGAGCACAACATCTCAAAAGAATTGGAAGTGCTACAGCCTCATAAATTATAGTGCACATTTAAGTTTTTGAATTTGATGGCTCAGAATGAGTTGGGGAAAAAGGAAAAAGAGAGATTGTATTGCTTTCAAGCCAGAGGATCTGCACTGCCTTTTGAATTCCCGGGGTAATAATATGTATGCATGAATTCCATCCCGCTGGATGGGTGACATTTATAACACAACTTAATTATAGACCTAAAAGCCATCTCTCTATTTTTCCTGACAATTCGGGGCTCTATTCAACTCTGGCAGCAAGTGTTGCACTTTGAAAGTACTTTGAGGAGCAGTGCCATAGAGAGATGGATGTTAAACTTCTCGGCCTTTTTATTGGGTGAAGAGGGGTGCTGAAAAGCTTCTGAGTAGCATAAATTTACATCAACAGGGGACAAAGCCTCCATCATGGAACAGATAGCACTGTCAATTTCAAGGTCTGTCTCATTCAAATTACGCGAACCTCATCCCAAGCGAGGCGACTGGCAAAATAATTTGCCGTAACATCCCGTAATGATTGCGTGGGACTGTTGCACTGTGAGTGATAGGACCAGATACCTATATATGAGACCTTTGTCTGGTGGTAGCATTCATAGTTAACATTGCTCTACATTCTTCTATTTCATAGCAGTGAAAGAAAACGTGATGATCAAGCCAGTGATAATAAAGACAAATACCAACACAGGAAGCGTATGGCATGTGGAAAGAGGAGAAAGAAAAAGAGATGAGGTGTGGGGTGCAGGAGGGTGAAAAGGAGTGAAAGCGCGAATGAGGGAGAAAACTAGCTCCTGTCTGACACAACAGCACAGGCCTTATTTCATTTTATGTGCTGTCAATCAGCTTGAGGCATCTGAGCAGACAGGAAGAGAGGGGGTCGGACAGGGAGGGAGAGGCTGCGAAAGAGGAAACAAGCCAGGGAGAAAGAAAGGTAGTGGGCCGGTGGGGCGACGCAGAGCAATAGACCTGGGATTAACAGTGAGAGGAACAGATGTTGACACAGATAGGTGTGTGGTTCAGTATAGCCAGCCTTTCTCTTTGATATACTCAGAAGGCTCTCACATTATCAACCCTTCTCCCTCGCCTTTCCACACATCCTTTTCACACATTCAGATGCTTCATATAGGAGAATAAATCACAGTCAACAATGAAAAAGGAAGGTAGAGGTTCCGAGCAATATCATTGGCATTATCGCTCAAAATATGGCTGACAGAGATCCATCAAAGGATGATGGGGGAGCCTCCCGCACTCTCAGAACAATCCCACCTGAATCGCACATTTCACAGCTATCTTTAATTTGACCACGCTCTACTAACTAAATAGCACATAAGCCACAGACATGAATGCATAAGCTGTTCCTGAATGCAGGCAAATCTGCTGCAGAGTGAGTGACAGCAGCAAAACCCAGAGCCTGGCTGCTTTATTTACAGTAGGACATTATCGTCCAATGGTGTCTCTGGGGAGGGATGACGGGAATGTGGGAAACAAACATGATTACACCCCTCCGCTTTTCAGATAACAGGAAGAGGAGGAGGAGGAGAGGGGTGAGCAGAAAGAAGAGGTGTTGTGTGATGGATCTGTTGAGTACAAGTCTAGGGTGAGAGGAGCTGCCGTGATGAAGAGACAACATAAGAAGAAGTTCGGGAGGGAAAGAAAAAAGGAAAGAGGTAGAGTGAGAACAAAAAAGGGAAATACAGAAAGTAGTGTGAAAAGGAAAGTGGGAGGAAGGAAGTGTCGGAGCACAGTGACAATGAGGTATGAAAGAAACGCGAGTGAGATACGTAAGAGGTGGGGAAAAACAAAATAGCTGAAGGGGAGGATGAGTTATTCAGAAGAGCAGAGTGGATCGCAGACAACGTCAATGAGTGTGCAGTGGGTAAAGCATGGTTCTAAAAATGTAATGAGTAGAAAGAGACACATGTACAGACGGACAGAGGGATTAAGAGGGACAGACAGGGAAAAAAAGAGTGGGAGGTGTGTGGGCTCTGACCCTTACTGGCCCCATCAGGCCCTCGCAGGACGGTGCACTCCTCGATCTGGCCGAAGGTCTCGAACAGCCGCCGGACGTCGTCCTCACTCTGCTGCTTGCCGAGCATTCCCACAAACAGCTTCCTGTCTTCTGGATAGGAAGAGAGGAAGGGGGAGGAAGGAGGGAGGGTGGAAGAGGGGAGAGAACAGACAAATGCTACAGCTGATGGCACCGTTCTGCTGAGCTGAGAGGAACTTGTGCAACTCAACCCCCCCCCCTTTTATCAGCAGTCTGCTGTGTTGAGCCTACGCTGCTGCTGCTGCTGCTGTTGCTGTTGTTGTTGTTGTTGTTATTGTTGTTGATCTTTCTGATGTGTGGTGTGCCACCCCACCCTGGTATGAGGGAGATCTATTCCTGTTTCCAGTGAGCTATTCAAGTCTGCCACAGTGACGTTTGATAGAGATGATGTTTGGAGCGCTGTGGGTTTCAGGTAAAGGTAGAAAGAGAGCGGGAATATTTTGCACAGGTAGACAAACTGTTAGATCGTCTGGATGCTTAAGTCACTGAGATGAAAGAGAACATGGAACAAGAACATGGTACTGCATTCTCTCATCACCAAAGGAGTAAGAATTATAATAAGCAAGAGTAAACTCTGCAGCACATTCTATCCACTGATAAACAGTGTCCTAGCTAGTTATTATAGTTACTATAGTCCTAGGTATTAAAGTCTGTACTTTCTCATCCGCTCCACTTACGGCTGACTATAATATGTAAAATTTAAAGCAGTCACACTTATGTATGAATGCCTATAGAAAAAATTTGAAGTCAGGAAACAAATACTAGAAAAGTAGCAAAGTAGAAAAAAAAAATGAACATGATTCTGCGCATTGCCCAGTGTTGGCTGCCCAGAAATAACTGATGAAGCTTCTCCGTGTAAAATTACTTCTGGGTAATTATCAGCCAAAGATTTGCAGATTTGTCATTTTTCAACTCCCAACAGTTGCAAACAAATAAAAAACTAAAATGAGACTTAATTCATATTGTGCAATTCAGAGAAAGAATGTGTTTTCCCACTATTTTGTGCACACACTGCATAATTCCACATATGTTGCGTACAAGTTAAAAGGTAAGTGAGATTTTATTTTTCAGTACAACGTAACCAAAATAACCACAACCATGACCTTTTGCTTTCACAGCCCAGTGATTAAGAACAGTGTTTGTCTACTATAAAAGCTACAAGATTTAGTTCTTGTGCCTTGAAACGAAAGAATGACTAAGCATTGCAGTAGGTAGTTTTTATTGTGATATATGAATATGTGGTTTAATTAGCTGAATCTAGTGTGATTTAACATCTTGGTTAATGTGAGTACTGACTTTTCCCAATTTCCTAAACAATGCTCAACTAGAGTGAAAAATGCAGCGTTGCTCGTCATTAAATTAGAAGGGCAGCTCCACCTATACCATGTCATAGTTGCTTCCTTAGCTCCAGAGGGGGGCACTCTGGCACAGACATATGGACTCTATACCACTAAATTTTGGCCAGTCAGAAAGCCAAATTTTTCTAATTAATCTTTCCCGTGCGCTGGCATTAGACAGAGCATTCATCTTCTTTACATCTTTTACATTATGCATCCCCTATTCCGCTGTGTTGTGGAATGAAATGGCTACTAGCAAGAACCTATCGCCAGAACTGATGGAAAGTGGCAGGAAGAGGAAGAAGAGTTTATTGGAAATGACACTGTTGATCTTCAGTGTGAGTCATTTGACTGGTAGGGAGCGGGCGAGGAGTGGGGAGGAGCGGAGGGCGAGAGCATCACCTGGGCCTCGACAGATGTGACGCCTCCTGTACCTGCCAGGCCCCATTAGACGCAGCTGTTCTAAAAATAAAGCACCAGGGCTTCCTTTTTGCATCAGGGAAATCGGATCCTGTTCCATTCCTGTAAAGTTCAAATGAGACACGTGCCTGCTACCCGCTTGGCCACACAAATGAGCACCTGCATAATCAATAAGGCCATGCTGCCTGGTCTCTACTGCTGGTGTTGTAGCTGTGGTGTCAGTCCATGTTCCTGTAGTCACGCCTCACACAGCAGGAATTCTCAAACCCACCAGCTGAGCCTGGTACTACTGCTCATTACTGTTCCTCCTACCTTGGAGCTCCAGGGTTGGAAGTGGGCGAGAACCCTGAGGAGATCACCACAGAGACAGCCACTTAAACTTTCGACTGGGATTTAGCAAGGAGCGACAGGAGGACAGACGTCTAGCTAGCTATTGGGTGTCAATGGATGGAGCTGCGCAGCTGTAAAGTCAACCCTGGACAGGTGTTAGAGAGAAATGAGCCTGACCCTGTCCATGGCAGAAAAGGTGAAACATGAAGTGCGGCAACAGCCTGTCTAGAGCACACGTGACTTTGACTCAATTGTCCCTCCATCTTTCACATTTTCACTGAGGTGTCACTATTACAACTTAAATGGGCAGAGTACAGTTTTACAGGCCTCCTGCAGTGTGTTAATGTTTTGGGACAAAAGTCTCATCTCGGTCCTGGCCCGAGGAGATCTAATGGCGGCTTTACAAGGCTAATTAACAAGCCATGAGCGAAGTAATGAACTTTCCAAATGTGCTGGCAAACGCAAAAATAAATTACACCCCAGTGAAGGCATTAAAGGAAGTGTGAGTGTACTTGGGAGCCTTCCTTTGGGAGAGTCACGGTGAGAAAATGAATTTGGAGCTGCTATCTTTTCATTGCCTGACCTAAGAGTGTCTCAGTCGGCACACTGCATGCCCTGGCCAGAGTATAGATTGCTATTAATTAGTCCGCTTTGCACCTGTCTCCATAGTAGCTCTTATTGGATTTTGCAAGTTCCCGCTCATCTCCTATGGCCACTCGCATGCCTTAAATTGGCATTTTATGAATATGAATAAATATCTTGTAATGCACCCTCTGCACAAGGAGATGACTCTGTGACTCCAAATAGTTATCCATTAAAAGTGGGGAGAGGAGAAAAAAAAAAGAATACTCCTCTCGAGTACAGTCATGTATTTGCATTAAAAGGGGTGAGGACCTTCCTATGGAACTGTCTGAGGATGAGAAGTATGACAAAACTCATTGAGCTGACTGTTTGACCTCTTTGTACTTATCTCTCATTGAGAGGGGCTCATCTTATCCCTCTAACAGAGCTGAGCCACACAGCTGGAGAACATTTGAGCTCTACAGCACTTCTCTGCTCTACTCTGAAGAGACCTTTGTAATCTGCACTTTCAAACCTAGCCACTACTTTAAAATAATAATGTGTGTGCAAATGTGTGTGTGTAGTTAGGAAGCCTGACTATAGCAGTTAGATTCTTTGTGTCATTGCATCTTCAAATATTACTAATTAATCAATGTATCTCTCGAGCATTTCTGCTGTATACATTAAAATGTAACCAGATTCAAGGATACATAGGCCATATAAAAATGGGTTTGGGTGTATGGAGGTGAATGTGAACACATGCTTTGATTTTGCTTGTCAACACATGCTTTCATATGTTTTATTATACTTATGTATAATATAATGTATATAGTGTGTGTGTATATAGCATACCAGTGTCTATGTGCGTTTGTGTGTGAAGGCAAATAAAGTTTCAGGCCTTAGCCAGTGCACACTTGCTTCCTCTTGCACACAAAATAATCCACACGTCTTCTTTGTTTCCCCCACGTGCCTCATCTCCTGACTGGAGGTGAGAGCAATTGTGTGGAAAATGTTTCCATGTCAGTCTCAAGCCATGTCCAAACTGAGGTGGCATGTGGACAGCCCCATTTTATGAATGCAAATAAAAAAGGAGATCAAAAAAGTTATCAAAACACTACTGACATCTGACAATTGCTTGTCTCAGGAAGGCTTTTCATTTCAGCGCACGGTATATTAAAAATTAATGGATTTTGCACAGACGCCATATGCTGTCAAGATTGATGCTTCTCTCCATGGAGTAAAATGCTACTTGTGTTGTAGGTTGCAGTATATGCATATAGATAGTGCTTTTCTTTTTCCTTTCTCCTTTCTTGTCTTTTTGTCTCTCTATTGCTCTGTATTTCTCTCTTTACCCTTTATTGTTATCCCTCACCCTACTGTTTCTCTCCAGGCAAAGAATCAGTTACTAAGAAGTCTACTTTTCAAAAGTTTCTGCTTTTGTTTGCCAATAATGGGAATATTCTCTTTAAAAAATTACTCTCCTGCTCCTGTGTCGTTGTAAATAATTTTTTTTTTTCTTCATGATTCTATCACTTACTGCCCATTGGCAGTCGTCAGGGAAGCTTGGTAGTAGTAAGTGTTCAGAAAGCATGGACAGCTGCAACCAACGATAAAAGATGCCTGCTAGGCCGCTGGGTGCATTTCAAATGCAGAGTAATGTTCCAGGCAGCACAACAGAGAAGTTGTGCTTCTTATGGTCTCATTAGAAAAGCCTGATGCTGGTGTGCAGCTGCCTGGGAGGCCCGCCACCAGACACACTCACACATGTAGGCGTACAGACCGGGTGTACAAAATGTTGGAAACGGCTTCTTAATATTGAGTTCATCATCTACTGTATGTTCCAATAGAGTAAAAGCAGGACTCTGTTTGGAATCAAAAGGTGCCATTTGCTTTCAGAATAGGCTTTTAGATAATGAGCATTAAACATTTGCACAGTATGGAAAGAAAAACTAATAATAATCACATATCACAGATGCTCTTTTGTTATCTAGAACTGTTATAACTGTTTAAATCTGTGCTTTATAGTACTCTACAGAACATGCTACATTCTGTTTAAAATTTGTACCAAATCAGGCATGTCACAGAATAACATGTTTGATCATAAAACTTCAATAATCGTATTACCTGTCATTTTAGAATTATTGGATATGTAATTTTTGATGCTGCATAGTGAGAGAGAGCCAATTACTCGCTGTAATTGGCAATGAGTGAACAGGGTGACTGAAAGGTAACCACATCAGATGACTTTCAGAATGGACCAGAGAAAAACAACATAAAGACAAATGGAAGCATTAAAACTAAAATAAAAATGTTTCTGATGTAACTTTGACATGTATCCATCGTGCAATTGCTGGTCAGCATTAAAAATATGCCTACAACCTTTCCTTAGCATGGAAATGGTGCATCCAACTGACCATTTTCCTGGCTGAGACGGTTTACAGTGGTTTTCTTGTTTTTGTTGTTGTAGTACAGCAACAGTATGGTGTTTTATTCTGAACTGTATGTAGGATTCACTGTCAATGTGCACAGTTCACTTGCAGTATTGAAGTTAATGTATAAAGTGCAATGTAATGTACTGACGTAACGACCTGCATGATATATGATTGGTTAAGCTGCATGTCCCAACCCCCCCCCCCCCCCCCCCCC